AAGATGGGGGGAAGAGAGAGAGAGAGAGAGAGAGAGAGAGAGAGAGAGAGAGAGAGAGAGAGAGAGAGAGAGAGAGAGAGAGAGAGAGAGATGGGGTGCTTTGGGTGTCAAGAACAGGCATTGTGTATGGTTAGTGGCCACCGGAACAGACTGGACAGGACTGCTTTGGGTGTGGACTGTGGCATCGAACAGGATAGCAAACGCTGATATTACAGGCTATGCGGCTCCTACATGCCAGGAGCGCAGAGGCACACCGAGTGCAATCGTATAGGCATTGTCGCTCCAGCCTGTGGCTACAAATAGGACAATGTCATGCCTTCTCACTGATCTCAGGGTGTCGTACATAACCACAATGGTCACTGTCACATGAAAACGCACACATGCTGGCTGGATCTCAGGCAGACCATCACAGTGCTGCATTGAAAAGTTTTCTTGGGTTCGCGCATCCAATGTTCCCTTTCTATGGGCAGGAGAAGACAGGGTTTGATCCAAAGGGTGCTCAGTTGTTGCAAGCTCTGGTCTGCAACAGCCTTCCCTGGCTGTGTGTGCTGTGTGTGTCATGGACGTCCTTTTCATCATAGCACTGGCCGCTGCTGTTTCATGCAGGTCGAACTCATCATAAAAGTTCAGGGCAGACTTGTTTCTGCACCCTGCCCATGAGTGGGAGGTGAATTGGGTTGGAGAAGTAGAAACTGTCTGTCAACGGCAGCAGAGACGTCAAGAAAGCACCGTACTGTCTCCACAATTCCCATTTTGGTCCGGTATTGGCTTCCTAGGGCCTGGTATTGGCTTCCCGGGGCCTGGAAAGGGCTGTTTTCGGCCTACAACGGCCAGGGGACAAAACACAAAGATGACCTCGGCCCGGTAGTGGCTTCTCAGGGCCTGGAAAGGGCCGTTGTAGGCTTCCAACGCCAGGGGGCAAAACGCAAAGTTGACCTGGCCCAGTAGGGGTAAAACGAAAATAATCAGGGCCTGGGAAAAGTTGGCAGGTACCGGGACATTTTGCAAAGATGGCGTGTCCAACCGACGCCAGGGGCATTTCACAAAACACTTTTTTTGTCAGAAGGGTATTCCGCTCTACCCATATCTTTTAGGGGCATTTTGGCATATCACTCAAGTTATAGGGGTATTTTGCAAATTATCCCTTCAGAGAATTAGCATCTTTTTTTGTTTTTTTTTCATGTCCACAGCAAGGGGCTTCGGCAGCATGTGCGCGCTGGTGGCGGGGTAGGGTGAGTTAAACTCGCACAACATCCATAAATGTCACAAAACATACAAAGCATATCCAGTGTCGGCCAATAGGCCTAAGATCCCTAGACATCGAAAACTCAAGCTTGACGAGGCGAAGATCAAAACACATAGCCAAAGCAATACGTGCGCGGGAATTGCCACCGTCTCCCTATTCCGTTTGTGGCGGGAATATGCTGTACACAAGGGCAGGTACAGAGCGAGCGAGCGAGCGAGAGAGAGAGAGGGAGAGAGAGAGAGAGAGAGAGAGAGAGAGAGAGAGAGCATCTCCTCGAGGGGACATAGCTCAGCGCGGGACAGGTGTTCGACGCCATGCCTGCCCATTGGTGGTAAAGACTGGTTATAGCAAAAGTAGGGGGTAAAGGTGCGAAACGAAGGATGACGGACGGGGCATCGATTTGCGATTAAAAGGGAGGGAGGGGGGGGGGTTCTCTGACCGCAATTGCGTCCAGAGCTTAGCAGAAAAAAAAGAAGTCCTAGAGTGGGTATGCCCTGAGATTGAGATATTTAAGAGGAAAAGAAAAGAAAAGAAAAAAAGCTTGAGAGATTTCTCCTCTACCGGAAGTCTTTGTGTTCCAATTTCCTAAAAAGGAAAGGTCTTGTCTTCTGGCTGATTTCGGGCTGCTGCCACTCATGTTGGCACAAGGGTGGGTGATTAGTCGTCAGGTTGATTTAATCGAAGTCGCACAGAGGAGGGGGGGAACGCCAATTACCATTTGAAAAACTCTAAATCATCAATTAGAGCAAAGTCTAATTACTACTTAGAGAAAAAAACGCTAATTACTACTTAGAGAAAAAACGCTAATTACTACTAATTAGTGAACGTACGGACGTCTTTTGTGGCGATAATTACTAATTTACTACTAATTAGTGAACGTACGGACGTCTTTTGTGGCGATGGCGTCCACTCCGTGGAGTGGCTCGTCCGGCTTGCTTTCGACTTCTTCGGCCGCCATCGCCATCCTTCCCTCGTCTGACACGTGGGAGCTTGGCAGGCTTTGTCAGCCAGCTGGCAGTGTTGCCGCGTTGGCGTCGACAGCCGCTTTTCCCGCCAAAAATAGTAAAGCGAGATTCTTTCAGGTTTTGAACCGATCCTCTAGCACTTGCCACGTGGCCAGGTGCTCGGCGATCGCTTACCCAACTGCCACGTGGCAGCAGGAAAGGGCGCCGCACTATTATTACCGATGCATGGCCATTACATCGACGATGATGAGGACGAAGAACACGATGGGGAGAAGGAGGAGGGTTTCGTGGGATCACGTGGATCGAGCAACAACGGCCACGTGGCATCAGAACAGAGCACGGCAACCTTATGGCCGATGTGTGCAATGCCAGGCTGCTGCAGCCGGAGCGTCAGCAGATTGGCCACGTCAGCAGAATGCTGCAATCCTCCTTGATTGGCTGGAAAAGAAGGGGCTGGGAGGGGAACAGGTCAGTCTTTTCTAAGTTTCTCTTTTCCTCGATTTAACACAATTTTTATTTATTTATTTATTTATTTTCTATTTTTTTTAAAGGGACTGCCTGCCTACCGGTACGACCCAGGAGGAGAAAGACAAGCAATGGCCGATTGCTGTTCACACGCAATTCACAGGGTGTTGTGTAGTGGAGCTAGGCTCTTATTTTTTTTATTTTTTTTAAGTACTCAATAAGAGTCCCAGTGCCCAAGGCTTACAAACCCCTTTTTTCCTTTTGTTTTTTGTGCTGGCAATCCGGCCCAGCGTCCCATGGGAAAAGTTCTTGCACATCACGAAAACGACAGTGGAGGGAAAAAAAAAAAAAAAAAAAAAAAAACCGACAGTGGAGAAGGAGCTACCGCACAAAAAAGACACTGGGAAAAGAGCCTCGCTCCACTACACAATACTCGACATGCAGAAAGAGTCCGGATGCATTCCAAGCTCCAGTCTATTCCTTGGGGAGCATCACGTGCGTCGAAGTGGTCCCATTGTTAAAAAAAAAAAAAAAAAAAAGAAGTGGGCCCATTGTTCCGTTCAA